GTCTGACCTGACTGATGTACACACACGGTCTTGTCTTACCTGGCTGATGAATACAGTTTGTTAATTGTTGTAGTGAATGCTGTATAGTCTATAAACGCGAAGTAATTCGATCCAAACAACATGCAGGTCACAGGCGGATCCAGAGGGGCTGCAGGGGTGCGCACCCCTTTGTCTTGAAAGTTTATTAAATGACCATTGAAACTCGGACGAAAATGAAGTGTGCACCTCCCTTTCTCAATAGTGTGCCCCCCACCCCACTTTTCTCAAAAAGCTGTATCCGCCCTGAGGTGTCAAGTCAAAACATTCATGATAGAACCGTATCGTTTCCTGTTGACTGGGTTCCGTCTTATTGCGCAACTTAGTACAATAACCAGTCCAGAATTTTGAGACCAATTCATTTAACTGGATACATAAATATTAATCAGTATTATTTGATACATCTAAGCACTTGTATATTGCAACACTACGGTCCTTCTAATCCTTGCAAACGCGTCGTGCAGCGTGCTCTGTCGTACAGCTAGCTCTGACAAACGGAAACATGGAAATCGTGGAAATCTCAAAAGGAGGCTCTGCCGCTAGAAAAGTTTGGCGGTCTGGTACGAACTTGATATTATATCAATCGCATTGTGCGTTACTGAAATACACTGAATAAGCGCAAAAACGTAACAGGTGTAACCAGTGAGCCAGATGCATTGTGAATCATTTTACGACCTCATCAAACAGGGGCAGTCTGTGACGTCTTAGTTAAGGTCATGCTGCCTACACCTCGCCATAAAATATAGACATACGATGTTATTAAAGTTTAAAATTAAAATGTATTTGTAAATACCATTTTCTTATGAAACAAGGAAATTGAATTCAGTGTAACCATAGTTGTTTGTGATGTCTATTTTCCCTTTCACACGAGAAAATTCGGATCGCCTGAAAAGTAGGACATTGTCTGAATAGGTTTATGAGACTCATGTTTCGGTTTGAGATGAGTGGACAGTGCGTATTTAGTTAGTGTTTCAGCAAATATGTGAATTAATTCGCGCATGATTCCATCAAGCTAACCGACATTAGTACGACCAGATTCTCGGACAGCAGTAAGACCGAGAAAGTAACTTTGGCTCTTTTCTACCGTGAGTAGTGCATGCTATCAAGACCATTGACGGGACGGGACAGACGAGCATCAGACGCCTGGCACACGACACGTCGATAAGGAGATCAAAATGCTCGTGTCAGTGCAAATCTGGACTTGACACGTCAAAACGACGCCAGTGTTTTATAGAGACAGTTTGTTCATATATAACATAGGAGATGCGATTTATTATTTACTGACTTACAGACTTGTGCAAGTCTAACTTTGACTATGTTTCGCTGAACGCTGTGAATTGTTTCAGTCAAACCAGTTGATGTCAGCTCTTTGACCTTTGGCGCATCTCGGTCTGTGCAGTGAAAACTATATAGGACTGTTATCAGTAGCGCTTGGGAAGTCAGTCCGCTTGTATTTGTGGACAGCCAACATGAACCTTTTTACTATGATGTGAAGCCGTTTGCCTGAAATGTTTTCTTATATTATCGATGTGTATACCTTAGCCCTGATCATGGGTTTGATCAGAACTGTGAAGGACAATGATCTATCGTTTTTATTTGTTTTATTAAATTAATAATAAGAACTGTTGTTTCCTGTCAAGAGTTTGGATCACAATTTCAATCACTGAGTCCTAATTTGATAATATAGCAGTCATACTAGTATGTCATTACCGAATACATGCTTGCTTCGTATGCAAGCATTTTCGGAATGACTTTAAATGGACACTTTAAATGCACTTGATCTTGAGACGAGAAATATTAGTTTAAATCATATCTAAAGTATATGAATAATGCGAACCAGTTGCCCATATACAAGGCTGACGCCCTTCCTGTCTAGTCTTGCCAGAGTTATTGACTGACTGACTGACTGACTGAGTTTGGTTTTACGCCGCTTTTAGCAATATTCCAGCAACATCACGGCGGGGACACCAGAAATGGGCTTCGTAAAGTATGTGGGGATTCGAACCCGTGTTCGGCGTGACGAGCCAACGCTTTAACCACTAGGCTACCCCACCGCCCCTGCCAGAGAGTTATTGAATATCTATGGACTTATTATTCTGTAAAGCCGTACGTAAAGTAAAACTACGTTAAACCACGCTTCCGCTTGTGAGAGACAGATTTGCTCTATGATACACATGTGAATCCCTTTCGACTAAGTTTTGTGTTTGTTTGGTGTTTAACCAAAGATGCCAACTATATAGAGGCGGTCTGTAAATAATCGAATCTGGACCAGACAATCCAGTGATCAACAGCATGAGCATCGATCTACGCAGTTGGGATACGATGACATGTGTCAACCAAGTCAGCTAAGCCTGACCACCCAATCCATTCGGATTATGCACTCGGAACACACCGAGATCAGCCCACCGGCTTTTGGCCTCTCGACCACGGAGACTTTGTTTAAAGACAGCATGAGTGTGATGTGCTGTGAAATTGGGTTTAACGTCGTGTTTGAGAATATTTCGCTCATACGACGACGTGCATGCGTGTGTATGTGCGGCTGCTTGTACTAGCCCAGACTTAAGCTGGTTTTATAGTGCTAGCCCACTGAGATACCATGCCGCAGTGAAGCATGAATACCCCACTCAGACACATTATACTGACTCCGAGCCGACCAGTCCTTGCTGTACCCATTAATGCCGAGCGCCAGACAGGGACCAACAAGTACCATATTTTAACGTCTTTTGGTATGACGCGGTCGGGGATCGAACCCGCGACCTTCCGCTCTCCGGGCGGACGCTCTAACCACTACACCACGGAGGCGGTTAAAGACAGCATGAGAGACAAGTGGATCCGTAATAGTTCTTTACTGTCCAGATAATACAAATGATACCTATATTATGACTAGCAATGGCATACTTGCTTTAAAATAGTTGTTAACTGTGAAACCCTTTGCAAAAATGTATGAGCACCTGTTATCAATTCGTGTACCAGAAAAATATAATATGAGATATTTTTCTCAAAATAACACATAAAACATAATTTACGTTTGTAATAATGATTTGCATTTGTTGAACATCCTTTGATTGGATGATACATATCCACTAAAGTATCTGCTGACACGTCACTAAACATTTAAATATGATTACAATAATACGAAGCGTTTGACATTACGATGGAACTTCAACAACGGGCACAAATAGTTCCCATAAACAGCCACATTGTGTTCTGTTTGTCAAATCAACTCATTTTCTCAATAAAGAACTAAATTACGTTTATGAAGCATAGCTATGTTTTATTTATAACGCAATATTTGAAAATAGAAGTGTATTGTCAATAATACTTGGTGTATATGGGTGCTTATGAGACACAGGTATACCTTTGACACATAATTGTGTCCGACATTTCCTACTTCGTAACCGATAACTCAAAGTTTTTTGTAGGCCCTTATGGAACAAGTAACAATAATTCTGGATATATCATCAGACCTTTCTTGTTTTCACGTCTCCCAGTCTTCGTCTTTATCCAGCCTATTCAATATCCATTCTATTGTGATACCCGGAAACATATACAGCCTTCTTATCTGCCCGTTTCGTTTAGCGTGACTTAAAGTCAGCGTCCAATCAGGTTACTCATGCGAGCGAGACAAATTCAGTGCTGATGGAGCGACAAAGGCAAGTACGTCACGTCCAAAGCCTTGTTATGTTGGCCAAATTGCCCAGGGTATCAATCGCAATAAAATGGAGACTAATATCCTGGATTACCAAGGATGTGCCTTCGTAAGCGCTACAGTATTTTCTATTCAAAGGGAAAGTTTGTTGAGTGTTTGGCCTCCAACAGTAATGGCCATAAAAACAAACAATCCAAAATCGTATCTCCTGGGGAACAACCATCTCGAAACAAAACTACACTGTACAACAAAATGTTTAACAACAGGTCTCAACAACTGTCAGTTCACATGCACTAAACAACAGTAATACACAGTATCTTAACAATACCCTTGATGTTTGTTCCATCAACGAAAACAAATCATAGTAAAACCTGATGTTGAGCAATACATCAACTTATACATGTGTTTGAACAGGGACACGTGTCATTGTAACAATGCTATAAATTAATACACCTCACTCTCACGTATTAATCACACGTTCTGTATCTCCAACTTGAATGAAAAAAGTACAGTAATGTATTTATATTATAATACTTGGTATATAAGGGTGCTTATGAGGCATGGGTATTCTTTCGACACATATATTTATCTGACATTTTTTACTTCGTAACGTCGATACACCAAAAATGCGTCTATTCGTTGTAGTTAAAACAAAACTAGACTGGTTCCTTGAGTACAAAGCGCCGGCGCTTCGTTGACCTGGTATAGCGCCAGCGCACCATACCCAGGGAACCAGGCTGAAACACAACTGACACCTGCCTAAAACAACTAACCATTAACAGTGTGATTTCAGGGTGGAAATGCATTACATAAACTGTATACATTGTTGTTGGGTTATAAACAACCACATGTATGTTGTTAAAAGAATAATAGAGTACGTTTTGTAAGTAAAATACACTGCCAACTCGTTAATTCGGACACCCTGCCTCACGGATGATCACTGATATGGAAGTATAAATAGCATCAAGTGAAATTACTCCGAAACCAAGATTCATTATTCGAACGTCTGAAAGGGAAAGGCTCCAACGGAAAGCATCGAACTGTTTCGCTTATCATTCCGGAAGTACCCAAACATAAGATGGCAATAGTGTAACGCCACCATTATTATATTACATAGTGACACATTCAGATTCTAAACCTCTTAAAATTGTTGTTCCTTTATTTTTTCCTTCAGTATATATCGCAAGAGCGTCGTATGGTCCATGGTCCACATTATACAGCCAAGGACAAGAGTCTTCCCAGAACTCCAGTATCCTCCGAATGATGAATCACGAGATTCCCATTTTAGTTATTCAGAGTGATTTACAACAATTGAACGCCCTCGCGTTTAGAGAATTAACAAATTACATGCATGGAACCAGTATAAATATGATTGCACGTAATACATGTGTTCTTCGATTGTCTTTCCATTAACATGGATAATGTACTTAAAATTACAAGGACAGCCTTGTAGATCAAGCCAATTCCTGGTTGTCTGCCTCCTCCTGCTCCTCCAGGAAGTCGGCATCTTCAAGAGAGGCCTCCTGGTACTGCTGGTACTCAGACACCAAGTCGTTCATGTTGGACTCGGCCTCAGTGAACTCCATCTCATCCATGCCCTCGCCAGTGTACCAATGGAGGAAAGCCTTTCTCCTGAACATGGCCGTGAACTGCTCGGATATGCGCTTGAACAGCTCCTGGATGGCAGTGCTATTGCCCACAAAGGTGCCTGACATCTTCAGGCCTTTGGGAGGAACGTCACAAACAGATGTCTTGACGTTATTGGGGATCCATTCAACGAAGTAGCTGCTGTTCTTGTTCTGGACGTTGAGCATCTGTTCATCAACCTCCTTCATGGACATGCGGCCACGGAACATGGCAGCTACTGTCAGGTAACGGCCGTGACGGGGATCACAGGCAGCCATCATGTTCTTGGCATCGAACATCTGCTGCGTGAGTTCGGGCACTGAAACGGCTCGGTAACTCTGACTACCTCTGGAAGTAAGGGGAGCGAACCCGGGCATGAAGAAGTGAAGACGGGGGAAGGGCACCATGTTGACTGCAAGTTTACGGAGATCAGCGTTCAGTTGTCCAGGAAACCGTAGGGATGTGGTCACTCCGGACATGGTAGCGGAAACAAGATGGTTGAGGTCACCGTAGGTAGGTGTGGTCAGCTTGAGGGTCCTGAAGCAGATGTCGTACAGAGCCTCGTTGTCGATGCAGAAAGTCTCGTCTGTGTTCTCCACAAGCTGATGGACTGACAGGGTGGCATTGTAAGGCTCCACAACTGTGTCGGACACCTGGAGGAGATGGTATGTAATAAGATTTATAGGAGAGTTTAGTTTTACGCCGCTTTTAGCAATATTCTAGCAATATCACGGCGGGGAACACCAGAAATGGGCTTCACACATTATATCCAAGTGGGGAATTGAACCCGGGTCTTCGGCGTGACGAGCGAACGCTTTAAACCACTAGGCTACCCCACCGCCCCAATTTTTAGGAGAGGACATGGTTGGGATAGTGTGACAGAAGTTTTTAACACATCTCTTTTATAAGAAGTGTTCGGGGAATATTTTCAGAAACAAAGAAAATATTATGAAAAGCGTTTTGATTGTGACTTACAAAGCAAAGCACCAAGTGTGTACTTTCTTTTCTACGTCAGTTTATATAAGTAGAGTCAGTTATATATCTGGCAATAGGAAACTGAAAATATCCTTGTTATCATTAATGTGACGAATATTATAGGGCTGGGACGGGTGGGTAGTGAGTTGGACCCGGATACTCATCTCAATACCCGGACCCATTATGATCATCTGACTAATATAGATTAAACAATGTATGTAATATGTTATTCTTTCATGATTAGAAGGTTGTATTGCCTTTGAAGAGTTATACATAATTTACAGTCACCTGTTTTGATGATGATACATGGTTTAAGATACTGAAAAACTCGATATTTTAGCCTGCGAGCTGAAGAATATATTGCCATTTCTCACAAATTTGATGTCAGGATAACGGGTATCAGGGTAGGTTAATAGGGGGTGGGGTACCCGGGTAGAAAATTGGGACCTGTCCCAGCCCTAGAATATTACTTTCTATCTTATGCTAAGTTTATAGCCGAACAGCCCGTTATTGGCGCCTCTGTTTTATAAAAGTGAATAAACAGGAGTGCATAAAACACACTCAGTGATTGTTCTGTTCTTTACCTTTGGTGATGGCACGACCGAGAATGTTGACATGATTCTGTCAGGGTATTCCTCCCTGATCTTGTTAATGAGGAGGGTCCCCATGCCAGACCCGGTCCCCCCTCCCAAGGAATGTGCCAGTTGGAATCCTTGAAGACAGTCACAGCTCTCTGCCTCTTTTCGGACCACATCTAGAACAGCATCTACGAGCTCGGCGCCCTCTGTGTAGTGACCCTTTGCCCAGTTGTTGCCCGCTCCCGTCTGTCCATACACGAAGTTGTCTGGCCGGAACAGCTGACCGAACGCGCCGGATCGGACAGCGTCCATGGTGCCTGGCTCGAGGTCAACAAGAACGGCTCTCGGGACATATTTCGCACCTGTGGAAAGCAGACATTAGAACATATATATCTCAGCAGGCCAATTCATGTTTCATGTAGTAATGAGGTGTTCATGCTATCAACCATTGGCTTGCGTAACCTATATTCGTGTATACCGTGTATTATTTGGGACCTCTTTAGTCCAGAGGGGCGGCGGGTAGCCTAGTGGTTAAAGCGTTCCCTCGTCAAGCCGAAGACCCGGGTTCGATTCCCCACATGGGCACAATGTGTGACGCCTATTTTTGGTGTCACCCGCCGTGATATTACTGTAATGTTGCTAAAACGGCGTAAAACTAAACTCACTCACTCACTCGTTAGTCCAGAAATACTTTTTCATACTTTTTCAAAGTGTTAATCACAATGATTAGCTGGTAATAGTAATGTCCGAATTAGCTGGGCTCACTATATACGGTCGATGGGGAAGATAGCGGTGATTTGCTTATCATCATATACCAATTATTGTATATCAACCTGACGTACGCTCGAGGTTGATGCGAAGGTAAGCTATACTATACATAATGGAATCAACATACTATCTTTGCTAGCCCTCTAGTTGGGGCTGGAAGGGTAGCCTAGTGGTTAAAGCGTTCGCTCACCACGCCGACAATCCGGGTTCGAATGTGTGAAGACGATTTCTGGTGTCTCCCGTTGTGATATTGCTGGAATATTGCTACAAGCCATCTAAAACTATAAACTCACTCACTCAATACTCTATGTGGACTAACAAATTAAATAAGGGCCTGGTGTAATGGACTGCGAAACTAAACTCACTCGATCTCTACTGAAACTGAAAAACACAGCATGACCTCTTGTGACCCCCCCTCTCTCTCTCTCTCTCTCTCTCTTTCGAAATGTACGAAATAGCTTTACATAATTTGTGTACGATACATATATGTAATGCTCTTTCACTGATAAAAGGCTTCGTCATCATCTGTCCTTCACCGCCTCCTTCAACTCTTGATATTGCCTGGGGTTCATAGTGACACAAAATTGTTTCACCGGTCGACCTGTCACAAGAGTTACTCCCCCTGGCAACTGAACGCTATTCCTCTCGACAACCATGAGTTACAACTATGCAAGATTCCCACGACAACACCGCAGAAACACAAGAATGTGGCGTGGGATGACAAGTCCCTCTTGTCGTAGCGTATGCTCTGGAATGCTATGAAAATTTCCCGAGCTGATTTTGCAAGTTCCGCTTCATGCTCTTGTAAATCTATGAATGCAAGATCCCTGTATCTCTATAATGAGGATAATTACACCCGGGCTGTATCTACTCCAGGGAAGTAGAAAGCTGCTCCTATACAGGTTCACCGGGAGCTGTAACCAGCAGAGCGTCAGCGAGTGACGAATACAGCGACCTTGGCAGTACCGTATATCCTCGAATAATCGCTTGTTGATTGTTTACGATGATGTCCTTACATTTTGACTTTAATTAGATTATGGGTATAGGTTGCTTTCAGGAAAACAGTTGTGTCAAGTTCTTTTTACTTTTGTTTCAAACGTAACTTCTCCGTGTTTCAAATGTATTTAGGGACTTTTTTTTTTTATTTCAAATATTTCAAGGGGTGCACGGTTTCAACAGACTGAAGTGATATACCATTAATTAATCCCGCAGGTGTAGGGGACTACAAAATCAACACGATTTCATTATTGGCAACAATGACAACTAGCAACAAGGTTGATGGTTCTATATGGTAAGTAACCTGAGAATATATGTTAATCACAAGGGTTTCTGTCCCAAATGAATATATTATGTCGACAAGTAGTCTCTTCCGGGGAACAACTTGGGACATCAACCTGGGATACATAATCTTTATTCCTCATATTCAGTGCAGTATATTACCGGTCATTTAAAATAGTATGTACGAAATAACCTTATGAGGTTAGGAATTGTTTGACCAATCAGATTTAGCCGTAGTCTGTCTCACAGTCCCTGAACCACATTATTTCCTCCCTAGATTCCCTCAGGTTCATTTCCCATCTGACTGGGGCTCCTTTTCAATTTAAATGGCTTTATTTGTTACTATCAAAATATTCAGAGACTAAGCGTAGCCACTGTACCGTTCAAAATCAAAACGTTTTTACAACACATCTGTGAACCGGTGTGGTAATAGAAGCAACAATTACAGGGACTTGTAAGTGCTAGGACCCCGTCTGTGACAATATGTACCTTCGTGCTAGGGTTTTACATCACAAGTCCTTGTGGCAATATACACACGGTAAATATTAACCGTGCAACCGGTCACCAGATGGCTGACGGACTTGCATATTTCGCGTCGAGGATGGAAGTGTGTTATTCAATTTCAGACATGTTACTGATGTAATACTTGTCTTAATACAGAACAATACCGCCAATAGAGGTAACGTATTGACTCTGGTATAATCGTTTATCCCACGGATCTCCTCTAAACATGCTCTAAACGTCTGAGAATGCCATCCCGTCGTCCTTGCTAGACAATGTCCTATTCATCAACTAGAGGTCATGTCAAAGGTCTGTGGTAGAAAATAAAAAATATTCACCCACAAAACTATCACCTAGCACGTGTAGCATGGATATATGCATGTCAGGGATTATTTTAGTTTTTAGTAAAAGAAGATAAAAATACATATGAAACTTGATGCCTCAAAATACGGAGTACAATGTGTTGATTACACAGATTTTAAAGTTCTCTAAGGCCTAAACGAAAATAAATATGTTTTGAATTAACTTTGAAAAACATGTATGCACAAATGTCATGGGCCGCTTGCATGTGTAGCTGTTGGAACGCAAGATCAACCAACGTTTACATGCCAGGAATTACAGCCAGCGGCCTGTGACAATCCCTGACAGAGGGGAGCGGTTCCAGAGCGGTCTGGTGGTACTCGACAGTTGCCCTGGTTTTACCTTGAGCCTCCGTGAAGTACACGCTGATTCTCTCAAGCTGGTTGTCAGCGTCACCGCGGTAGGAGCCGGTGGGGTCGATGCCATGCTCGTCAGCAATCACTTCCCAGAACTGTAATGATGATAAAAATAACGATAACGATGACAAATATATAAATAATAACGATGGAGCTAACAACGACGATACATAATTATAATGAAACTTCTAGCACCTTCATAAATAAAAGCGCTGACTATATCTGAAACGTGTTATTGATTGAATAAACTACGGTAGTACATTATCAAAATATGCACGTATATTTCATGTCCGTACTTGAGACCACTTCACTTTGACGTTTTAACGAGGTTAGATGGTCACAATATTTCCCTATTACTGATCATTATCCGGTAGCTGCCCGTGAGCTTGTCTAAATAGTATTAAATATACTTTTAAGCGATGATTTGTTTATAGGATAGCGTTAAAGATATTGGTGTAGAAAACTGATGGAAGTGAGATTTTTGTCATTTTTCGATATACATGATACATGCTTTCAATAACTAGAAAAGAGAGTTTTGAGATTGGAAAGAACAGTGGTCAAAGCTTTTGCTTTTGACTTCGAGGGTCTGGGTTCGATTCCGCAAATGGGGTGAGTACGGTTTTACGGCTCTTTTAGCAAAATTACAGCAATATTATGGCGGATGACACCAGAAATGGGCTTCATACATTGGAGCTTATGTGTATGGAATCGAACCCATATCATCAGTGTGACGAGCAAACGCTTTATCCACTAGGCCACCCTCCACCCCTCTGGGTGTAATGTGTAAAGTAAGATCCTGGTGTCCCCTTACTGTACTTACAGCGGTTTAACACACGTATCATTCACTCAAGCTCTACATCATGAAGGAATAGTCATGATCTTGTTCCAGCCACGTGTGTCACATTATCAGGTCCAGGGCAGTGTGTAAGTGTAGTGTTGAAACAATTCAGCCAGTTAAAATACACAATGGGTCTTTCCAACAAAAACGTCTGTGTCGCTGACAGGAAACCCACCAGCCCACCACGAGTTTGTGAGCTTGTATGTAGGTCAACAGTATATATATTACATACATATCTAAAACACTTCGTTATTCAACCTGTCCCATATCACACTGACACACGCTATGTCAGTATACTGTGTAATGTATATGTAGTAAATATGACACCAACGAACGGCATAAATCCATCATGTTATCATATGTCATACATTACAATTGATTTCTACGTTAATGATGTACAAGCATATTTTACAATGACGATTCAGCAATTTTATAAACGAGAACCAGGAACATGATTTCAGTGTTAATATGCAAACTTTTTTTAATTAATAGGAAAACGAAACAGTTATGAAAACCCTATATAGGCCTACTGTGACCTGTTTTAAATTGGTTGATGTGATTAAAACAGATGAAACGTGATGATGTATTCTATGTACTGTTTGCTCATCTGATACGAGACAGTGGTAGTAAGAGTTCAACATTCCTCAATGACGCCCCTTCATCAGCCACCATAACGTCGCAGGAATGAGGTAGCATTTAGATACCATATCACTATACATAAAACTGTCAGGAAACATAAAACGACAAGAGAATATTTCCTACCTTTGATCCAATCTGATTGCCGCACTGGCCCGCTTGTAAGTGCACTATTTCTCTCATATTGCGGGGTACTGTTTCTTCTTAGGAAAAGCACACTAACTTTCCCCCATCAACTTTGACAAATGCGTTTCTGCTATATACAGCAACCGCATCCCAGTGACGTCACAAGAAGGAGTCGAGAGCTGTACGTGATTGGTTGAAAGCTGAGTGTGTGAGGCGATGACTGACGGAGTTGCTTCCCCTCCACTGCAGCTGGCGCCTGACGCAGTGATTAACCATCTGAAAGTTCCACGTGCCGGCAGCCCGGTGATAAGATCTACAGGGTAACGGCGCACATTCGTCAGGGATTGTGAAAGAGGGTTATTAATAGCTTGCTCATCCCCCGGCGGGTCCCTACTACAGCTGATGTTTTAGTGCTACTATCATGCTACTACCACTATACAACTGCTGTGCCACTGCTGTTTTAGTTACTACTACTACTATTACTGCTACTACTCGAGACTACCGGCCGGCCGCTGCTGCTGCTACTACTATCATGCTACTACCACTATACAACCGCTGTGCCACTGCTGTTTTAGTTACTACTACTACTATTACTGCTACTACTCGAGACTACCGGCCGGCCGCCGCTACTTATCATGCTACTACCACTATACAACCGCTACTGCTGTTTTAGTTACTACTACTACTATTACTGGCCTACTACTCGAGACTACTACTACTTCTATCATGCTACTACCACTATACAACTGCTGTGCCACTGCTGCTGTTTAGTTACTACTACTACTATTACTGCTACTGCTACCGGCCGGCCGCTGCTGCTGCTACTTCTATCATGCTACTACCACTATACAACTGCTGTGCCACTGCTGTTTTAGTTACTACTACTACTATTACTGCTACTACTCGAGACTACCGGCCGGCCGCTGCTGCTGCTACTTCTATCATGCTACTACCACTATACAACTGCTGTGCCACTGCTGTTTTAGTTACTACTACTACTATTACTGCTACTACTCGAGACTACCGGCCGGCCGCTGCTGCTGCTACTACTATCATGCTACTACCACTATACAACCGCTGTGCCACTGCTGTTTTAGTTACTACTACTACTATTACTGCTACTACTCGAGACTACCGCTGCTGCTGCTACTACTATCATGCTACTACCACTATACAACCGCTGTGCCACTGCTGTTTTAGTTACTACTACTACTATTACTGCTACTACTCGAGACTACCGGCCGGCCGCTGCTGCTGCTACTTCTATCATGCTACTACCACTATACAACTGCTGTGCCACTGCTGTTTTAGTTACTACTACTACTATTACTGCTACTACCCGAGACTACCGGCCGGCCGCTGCTGCACTTCTATCTGCTACTACCACTATACAACTGCTGTGCCACTGCTGTTTTAGTTACTACTACTACTATTACTGCTACTACTCGAGACTACCGGCCGGCCGCTGCTGCTGCTACTACTATCATGCTACTACCACTATACAACTGCTGTGCCACTGCTGTTTTAGTTACTACTACTACTATTACTGCTACTACTCTACCACTACCGGCCGGCCGCTGCTGCTGCTACTACTATGCATGCTACTACCACTACTACAACTGCTGTGCTGCACTGCTTTGTTTTAGTTACTACTACTACTATTACTGCTGCTACTACTGAGACTACCGGCCGGCCGCTGCTGCTGCTACTACTATCATGCTACTACTGTGCCACTGCTCACTGCTGTTTTAGTTACTACTACTACTATTACTGCTACTACTACTCAGACTACCGGACTACTGCTGCTGCTGCTACTACTATCATGCTACTACCACTATACAACTGCTGTGTCACTGCTGTTTTAGTTACTACTACTACTATTACTGCTACTACTCGAGACTACCGGCCGGCCGCTGCTGCTGCTACTACTATCATGCTACTACTGTACCACTGCTGTTTTAGTTACTACTACTACTATTACTGCTACTACTCGAGACTACCTGCCGGCCGCTGCTGCTGCTACTACTATCATGCTACTACCACTATACAACTGCTGTGTCACTGCTGTTTTAGTTACTTCTACAACTACCACTTCTACAACGGCTACTACTCGATACTACCACGATCATGCTACTATCAATTTACCACTGTTGTTTAGTTACTGCTTATACTACTACTACTATTACTACTACTACTTTAGACTACTACTACTACTACTACTACTTGCGAGACTACTACTGCTACAACTACTACTACTTGAGACAACTAGTATTGCTACTACTACTACTACTACTACTACTACAACTACTACTTGAGACAACTAGTATTGCAGCTACTACTACTACTACTACTACTACTACTACTAACTAGTATTGCTTGCTACCACTACTACTACTTTATTACTACTTGAACAACTTCTATTTTATTCTACCACTAATCCAGACTATTACTACTGCTATTGCAGCTACTACTACTAAAATTATTACTGTTTACTACTACTACTTGAGACAACTAGTATTGCAGCTACTACTATTACAGCTAGTACTACTACTACTACTACTACTTGAGACAACTAGTATTGCAGCTACTACTACTACTACTACACTACTACTACTTGAGACAACTAGTATTGCAGCTACTACTACTACTACTACTACTACTACTGAGACAACTAGTATTGCAGCTACTACTACTACTACTACAGCTACTACTACTACTACTACTACTACCACTTTGAGACAACAATAGGTACTACCACTACTACTACTTGAGACAACTACTACTAACTACTACTGCAGCTACTACTGCAGCTACTACTACTACTACTACTACTACTGCTATTACAAATGTTACAACTGTAACTCCACGTATTACTACTGTTACTACTATAACCTGTCACGGTCATATCAAACTACGATGGGTAATTTGTCTATGCCACATGTCACACCACACAACAAATGTCACGGAGCTCTTCCTCCGCCAATATTACTCCGCCAGTATCGTGACAGCCATGAATCATTCACCAACCTGGTCTCCATTCACCAGGCACGACATTAATCAGACCCCATTTGGCACAGCTCATCACGATCATTGCCACATCAAAGTTAGGGCAGTCAGACAGGCAGAACGCAGAGTCAGAGGATCTCACACAAACAATACATAAAGGAGATAGGTATACTGGCTGTTGTAGGTCGATCTATCTTCATTATTGGTAAACTGCAACGGAAACTATACACCTAAGTTTGAGAGAGAGAGAGAGAGGATGGGGAAACAGAGGAGAGAGATTTTACAAAACAGAAATACGTAATTTAATAATTTACATAATTGATATACATGTCGTTGGGGTAAGCATGTCGACCGCCGCGGTCGTAGATGGGGTTTGAAAGAATGATATTGTACATTCGCCATTGCAACAATGGTGTAGGTAAACCTAATTCCTGTACTTATATATAAACCTACATATCGTGAATGAATGAAGGATAACCCTATCTTGGACTTAGCCTGCTCCAGTGAGCTAGGGCTCAGTGATTACAGAGAGTATTTCAAGTCTAACGAGTGAGTGAGTTTAGTTTTTCGCTGCTTTTAGAAATATTGCAGCAATATCACGGCGAGGGACAACAGCAACTGGCTTCACACATTGTACCATGTGAGGAATTGAACCTGGGTCTTCGGCGTGACAAGCGAACGCTTTAACCACTAGGCTACCCATCGCCCCAAAGGATGTACAATGAACAAGTTCTAGGCAAGAACAGTTAATAGGATAACAGCAGGGACCTATATATGGAGCGTGTCGTTAGCATATACCCGGCGTTAAGTTAAAACATGTTAACTGTCCAGTCCTTGTCAGCTGTGCAGTCCTCCTAGTCAGCCATGATGTTGACGTCAGTCAGATAACGATCACATAGGGACGAGTCGGTGGCTAATATGATATACAGTGGAGTGTAATAAGTATCGGAGACAACACCTGTGCTGGCTATGAAGTATCTAATCTATGGACTGTTCCGACATCGCTGACTTCGGTATATATATGTTAGACTAAGATTTAGTTTCCAACACAAGACAAATTTTGTCGAGCATTTAATGTATAGTAGTTAAAGATTACAGAAAGATTCTTCACGAAATACAGAATTGTAGACATGCTTGGAAACTTCCCGGTGTTTGTGTTTCAAGATCTGCAAATGAGGCAGTTACAGTGTTATGGTTTCCCACTGGTTGGACGGTTGGTTGGTTGTTTAACGCCGCACTTAGCAATGTTTCAGATATATGGCGTTAGTCTGTAAATAATCGAGTCTGGACCAGACAATCCAGTGATCAACATCATGAGTATCGATCTACGCAATTGGGATACGATGACATGTGTTAACCAAGCCAGCGAGCCTGACCATCCAATCCCGTTTGTCGCCTTTTACGACAAGCATAGGTTGCTGAAACCCAACTATTCTAACCCGGATCTTCACGGGTTACAGTGTTATGAGTGAGTGAGCGAGTGAGTTGGGTTGATGTCACCTCTACATGACAGCGTGGCAGCATCAAACGGAGGGAAGAACAAAGTCATGCAGGTCTGACGTTTACCAGTTTGCAAACCACGAGAACGCTACAGCGCTGACGTACTTAACAGCATACTGGGCGAACTGGGCCTCAAACCCAGAATCATATGTAACTATAGTGTGAGGACGAAATTGCAGTGGACGGCCGTGCCCATGTTCCCCTGATGTGTCGGACCGAGTTAAATGTTTGCTTGATGGTGTCATCAACGCCTGTTTTGTGACGAAGCTCTGATTGGCAGCTGTCAACATCAGATGATATGTACATGTCGAGTGACACGTGCCCTGGGTGACGTCATGCGGCCGACGCGTGTGTACAGTATACCCAGTTGTAAAGTCACCTTCCTTGGTCAGCAGTTTGATCAGGGAACACGTCCCGTCGTCGTCGCATCCTCGATAATCTCCTGGGTATACGTTCCGATAAATCTAGTGGAGATTTATGGCATGAATACCCTGGATATTACCCAGGATGCCGTTGTCGTCACAGTAGTAGTAGTTGGTAGCGTATTTCATACCCCACAAAATACATTTCGAGGGGGAAAAGACGCGGTTTGTCAGAATCGATCTGTGAAACTTCTGTCATGATATAGTTGAGATATGTCTGAACTCGGCGTTGAGC